ATGAAAAAAGTAGAAAATTACGATCTTGATTTTTAATGTAACTATTAATTGCTCCAGGGAGAAAATAAACGAATCATTATATCTAAGAAAAACAAGAAATTCTCATTTTCTTAGACATTATCGACGAACAAAAACATGCATTTTATTATGCTGAATAAAAACGTGAACGATATGCGCGCATATATGACTTTTGCTCTCTGTTGCGAGCTGTTGTTACATCGAGATGTTTGTTTGCGTGTATCACAAGGAACACTCGCATATATACATATATAAAAAGCGCGGCGAGCGCATTATGGGCGCATAAAAGGATCGTTTCGTCGCTGATTGACCCCGCGCTCGCGCCGTTATCCGCGAAGTTAAACGGCGCTAAAAAAAAGCGATGAGTAATCTGTAGTAAAATTCGCCGCGCACCAAGTCGAATGACGTAAAGCGCGTCATAGATGCTTGTTTTATAGTCTCGTAATTTTCATCGTAACCGCCGGGCCGCGAATGCGACGCCTCCTCATTGTCCTTTCGAACGGGGAGGAAAGAGCAACACACACACATACACACACACACATATAAATAGAAGGACTAATAAGAGCCTATGCGTAGGCTCGGCGGAGCGAAGAAAAAAAAAGCACCGGTCCTTCGAGAGTGGCGGCGCAAACTATTAAAAAGCGCGCGTCCGCTCAAATTCTCGCCGGCAGTAAATTACCCGAAAAAGAAATAAGCGGTGGATTCGAGGCGCTCTCTTCTTCCTACTCGAGCTCCCTTTCGTCCTCCCTCTTTTGCCGGCGCCCAACGCCCATGGATAGATCGTCGCGCCTGCTTTTCTAGGGTAAAAACCCTCACCGGCGGTGAGCGGTCGCGGTTCTCAGATAAAAAATTAGCCGGAGTTGCAAACGTTTCCACCTTAAATCATATATTTATCGCGACATTAATTCAACCCTTTTAGGTACCCTTTTTTCCTGGCCACTCCGCACGGAGACCGAAAACGCCTCCGCCGACCGACCCCTTCCACGTTTCCCTCTTTTTCAGCGTCTCCTCTTTTATTGTCTCTCCTCTTTCAACTTTGTCCCACACCCTCGTCTCCCTCTTTCTCGCGCCACCCACAACGGACGACAGCCCGTTAGCTCGCTAATTTCTCAGATTCAAGTATTTTTATGTACCGTCGCGCGGACCTGACGGGGGTAAATCCTCTCGTTTATTATTTAGTAGGGGCGAACCAGACCCTTGATGGGTGTGCGCGTGTATGCCGGGGGATGGACTTCAAACAGCCGTAAGCACGTGGGAAGACGCGCGTTTACCTTGTCGCCCTTGCCGGTTTGATGGGGGATATATGAGCTCTCGTTAGCTCTTCTTGCTTCGACTCTCGACGATTATCCTTCTTTACGGCTGAATAGCCTGTCTGTATCTACTGTACGCGTGCCTCTCTGCACTGCTTTGCGATGCTCCGTAACGAGTGTATAACATTATTCTTTATTTAATCTCGTCTCATTTATTCTATTATATTAAATGCAAATTAGCGGTATATATTTATATGACATGGTTATACAATGATAATCAGTTAAGTTCACCGCGCATTATACGATGTTTGCTTGAACAACGGAAAGTAATGCAAATAAAGATGATGAGAATTTTGTCCAAATTGTGAACACTTGCGCTAAATGGTTCAGTCACTTCAGATCTTGTATATTTCTTGCAGCTAATAGAGAAACCAAATAATGTTATCAATTAATTTATTATTTTGTATATATCAATAATATATATATATATATATATTTTTTTTTCTTTAATTAATTTTTTACATAAAGAAAAGAATCTTTACAGCTTGAAAGATTATGCATTTTACTGTATAGATTTTTTATACCTTATATAATTATATTTATGGTATAAAATTGTTATAGTTTAAGTTTTTTATAGCACATAAAATTAGATTATTTCAAAATAATTTTTTACCTTAATCTTCTTTAGACTTTTGAATTAAAATTCACTTTATCCGTTTCCTCACACACAACGTGTCTATATCATTTTATCAAAATAACTACGTAAGTAATTTTTTAGCTCAGAAAGCACATATTCACACTTTGTGCGCGCTCGAAATATGATCTGTGGCCACTCCTATGAAGCAACATTATGGCGCAAGCAGAGCCCCCCCAAAATTCCCGGACGCATTATCCACATTGAAATAGGAAACGAGACGTACCCCAAGACCAAAGCCCATTCGTTGTTTACTTAATAAATACATATTTAGTATATACGACGTATATAAGCTGCCTGAGCCGGCTGCGTCTATTTTTGCCTCCAGTTTTGTTGTCATAGGACCGACGATGGGACTTTGTTCGCTCATCGCGATGTTTCCATGGGCACCTAGATCCTCTACATTGGATGACTAAAACCCGAATCGCTTGAAATACTTTTAATAGTTGGTATTGCTAATCTAATAAAGTCGAACTCGCGCGCGAACTTTCCTCCCCGGTGGTGCTTCGGGAAGAACTGGTAGAAAAAGACGCGGTAGCATTTTCGTTGTTATAAGCTCTTATAGTCTGCTTAATAAGAACTTTATGCACCAAGGCGTATAATTCCGGTTATATTCGTTTGCGCGCAGTTAACCTCCCATCTCTCGAGCATTTTGCAGAATTTATTTTTATATATTCCGCGGTCTCCCTACACAACCGCACGCACAGAACGTGCGAGTCGAAGGCATGAAGCTTCGCTGCGGAAAATGCGGTGAAAATTTCGCGTTACGGCGAGCGCCGGATTTTCCCGGGAATTTATGCAGGTTAGTCGCCTCCCAACTTCGGCTTCAGCTTTATGTTATTTATTCAAGTACTCTGTGAAGTAGGTTTGTATTAAATTTTTCAACGAAATATTGACGAGTTTGAGAGAAAGTATTTTAAAATGTTCAATATACCTTTTTACCTCTAGAAAATTTAAGCGGTTTCGATTCTAATAAAATTATATATATATATATAAATTTTATACATTATAAATTTTTACTTACACACTACTGAGTTATTCACATAAATTATTCACCAAAGTTTTCTCCAAGAATAGAGTTAAAAATTGGACTACGAGATTATTATTTTCATAATTAATTTTGCCGCGTATACCATATATAATTTATTTATTTATTATATAAATGACTTATCTCTAACGTTAATGTCTAAAGAGTCTAAATATTGTCGTAGTAATTTCATTGAAGATTTATTCCCTGCAACGCTATCGTGTCACCGTATAATAACAAATTCGTCCGAAACGAGTGTACATATATACACGATGTAGTAATTCTCGAGAGCACGTGTGTTTTCGTCTTCGGCTTTTCCACAACAGGTACAACAGTACGGTATCGCTCTACATCGTATAATTGTCGAGGAGCTGAGAAGCACGAGTGAAAGGAATATTTAAGGACACATCGTTTCGAGGAACATTTTGTCCCCCATTTCCGGTTTGCTTGTACAAACTCGAGCCGGTGGTTCAGGTTGCGTCAGGCAACACGTGTGTACACGCGTATTTATCACTCGTGTGTACAGCCTTTCGCGCGTATATATACTTAGCTAACCAAAGAATAGAGAATTTCCATACTTGCACCGTCCACTTCGTTTCTTTTCGCGAAACGTGAGTTGGAGTCGTCGTGAAATCCTTATCGTAAAGTAAGAGATTATATTCTTCATCGGTGCATAATGTGTCGGTATCATAAAGATTCTATTATTAAAAGCTATCTTTATGGAAACTACTTTCGTATCATTTAATTGACTGTTTAATTAATAAAATTCAGATTGCATTTTAAAGACTTACGTTTAATTGTGCAGTGAAAGAAAACACACTATCCAAACACGCGTTTGTCAAAGTGATAAATGGAGGTATGGCAGAAGAAATTTCAACATCTCTACTTAATAGATATTTGTTCGTAAAGTGAGTTTATTTTGATGTCCTGATGTCATTATAGGACATGAGTTATAAACACTGGAATTACAACGAAACAGGTATATGTGAGCATCTTGAATGAACAGTATTTTCATTTAATGAATGGAATATATTAAAATTTCTGTGAAGCTTCCGTTGACGTCAATCCATGAACAAATAAATTTCTTTATGCCATCTTATATCAAAGTAAACAATTAGTAAATTCATATGCACACTAAAAATAAATCAAATACGCACTCTTTCTTCGATTTCTTCAAGTTTCCTCGCGGAAAAAAAGAAGCAGAATGATTTTAATTATTCGAAGAAATTCTTTTCTGAAATATTGATAATATCACAATTAAAAACATTAAAAAATTTTCATTGAAAAACACTTGGAAAGTATCTTATATTTCTCTTGGTATAAACCAATTCCCAATTGATTCATAGTAGAACTTTGGCACGTAAATTGGTTCCCAATAATTATATAGCTATTCTCACAAAAAACATACGCCAGAAGTATCGGAAAAAAACGCACTTGGGTCGTCGCTTCCTTCCTCCGTAAAGGCATTTCACGAAAGATAAAAAAAAGGAACCCTAAAGATCTCTCCTGCAACCCACCAACTTCGGCGACAGTGTGTGACGAGTCGGCGATGTGTGATGCGCGGGCATAAAAAGAGAGAAAGCCAAAGAGAGGGAGAGAGAGAGAGAGAAAAGGGGGGAAAAGAGAAAAAAAAGGATATAGTCGGAGAGCACAGGAAAGAGAAGGAGAAACCGAACATATGGTAAGACGAGTCAGACCACGATGTGCCGCATATGATGTAGTGGTTTGCCTGGCGGCAGTGGGGTCAGGGACGAAGCGAAGGGTGGGTGTCTAAGCGGGACGAGGGGAGGAAACTCTTTGGACGTGCCGCGTAGAGGGGATGCACGAGGAGGGGAATGGGGGACATGAAGGAGAAGAAGGTAGGGTACACACATTGAGCGAGCGGAGGACTGTGGCGGTTGGGGAGGTTGCGGGGGAAGGGGAGAAACTGAAAGCAGGCCTGTTGGTTGGTTTCAACTATATTTGTTTATATTTACACAATAAGCAACAGCCCGGTCGGGCTGCTTGGTATGTCTGTGCCGCTTTTAGTGTTTAGTCCTCGTTCTACTCGGTTGGCGCGCTAACGTTGACTTTCGTCTTCTTCTTTACGCGAATCCAAGAACGCGCGCGCTCTTTCTCTCTCTTTCCGTCCTCTTCTTGGTGTATGTTCCCCTTCTTTTTTTTATCTGTTCACCGTTCCATTTGTGAGGGGGTGCGTTTTCGACTTAACCCTCTCCCCTTCCATCGCGAGTGACGCCGGGTTTCGCGAAGAAGGAGGTTCAAAGTGCCGTTTCCTGGATGCAGTGCGAGAAACGTGTGTGAAATCGGTGCTTTTTTTTGTGAGACAATCGCGGAAGCGACTTCCGTCGCGGCTTTTCCGCGCGCTACACACCGGATGTTTACAATGGACACAAGCGCGAGTGTCTGTGACGCCGCCCTGTTGTAATAATCGGGACCGGAAATGCCGTCCGCCGCGTGAAGTTTCGGAGCAGTGGCCCGTGGATTTTGATGCCGGAAACGGCAGATCTGTCTTCTTTCAAAAGTGTATTGTTAACGTTGTCCCATGGACTGCAACGCCACTGCCAGCGGATCGGAGCGGATGTAAGGAATTTTGATTGAATTTTCGCGGTGTGTGCGCGTACATTAATTAAGAATTAATTAAGCGATCGTCTCAGAGGACTTTAGGCGTACACCGTGATATTAGTCGTGAATGTGTCGTCGCGAATAATCGATATTGTGAATAGGTATTAATTATGCGACGCTTGATTACGTATTTTTTCCTCCAAACGTATCTTTTCTAGCTATGGAATTTCACATAAGCGAATGATGTTTAATTAACGGGTTGCGTGTCGCTTGTAATTATTCCTTTCTTGGAAAAAGATTGATTTTTTTTTATTTAGCACGGTGAGATCCGTGAAGGAATATTGCATGACTAGTTTGGATAATTAATATGTTAATATAATGATTTTTGGACATTCCTCTATTTTGCACACACGCGAAAGCGATAGAATAACGTATAAGACATTTATTTTTCATGCTTTAATGCAAATGTAATTTTTCTTTAAACTTGCAATTAATTAAATTTTCAAATGTTACATAATTTATTTTATTTTAAACTCTCTCATGAATATGTGTGCACATGCTTTATATATTTCGCGCGCAATATTACGACGTGCTTTATGAGTTATTTATACGCGCCTGAACCATCGTTTGATGCGTACTCCGAAATATTTACAATAACCTTGTAGGTATTGTGTATTATACTCTACTTATGATGGGAAGCAGAATCTTAGCATGAATTTAACAGAAGATCTTAGCACGATGTGTTACGAATTTCCGGGAAAGTATGTATTATTAGCTTTCCGCAACTGTGAAACATTGTTTCTCTTGCGTCGAGTGGGTGGAATCACGTGCGTCAGAATTCGATCTAAAACCGTGAGGCTCTCGTGAGGGCAATGTCGGATAAGAGTGCATGTTTCGAGATCTCATCACGATTAGTGAGCTCTGAGATTATGATCGAATATGCTTAAAATATAGATTTTACACTGTACATACCATTTTTTGTGTACCTGTGCGCAGCTTTATTATATACATATTTTTAATATTCTCTCTTTCTATTTTTCTATCTTTAATATTTATATAACATGAGAGATTTTATGTTAAATGATATGTACATATATAATTTATATCACACTTGATAAATCAGGTATCGGAAGATTTATTGCTACTGCAAAGGAAAATGTATAATTATATGATCATATTATATTATATATTAAAGCAATTCATATTCGATGAAAAACATGATAATCTTATTAAGTATTATAATATTGAAATAAATTATCATATATATAATATGGAAATATAGTATTTTAATATATTAAACAATGTGTCGGTAGGAAGATACACTACTAGCAAGTTCTTCTGGAAATACGCGCCATTTATAATCGAGTTCTGTGCACGAGAGAATACTGACGTAACGATGATCGTGATTTCAGGACGATGGCATAATGGATCATGACACAGACGGAGACGGTGCGATCAACTTGTCAACGTCACAACGACCCTCCGCCGCCACTACCCCTAATGGTGATACTCCCACTTACGGCCAAGATCAACAAGACAACGATCAGGTAAGGAATTAATCTCGGGGAACAACCTCGATTTATTGCCGCATGCAATATTTATTTTTATCGTCTTTCTGACGCGTCTCTTGCGGACGGTCAGAGCTGTTGGTGGTTGACGAAGCTTCCTAATCTAAAGTTAACATGACATCATGTGATGAAATCACATATGTGCTAATCATTAAAAGTTATGATTCTGTTTTTATTTACTTATACATTTAGATTTATTTTATATAAAGTTAAGAAAAAAATATATACAACAAAACATGATCAATAATGATACAAACACGGAATAATGAAAATATGAAAGATAAATATCTTGCAATATTTAGTCGAATCTAATCTAAATATCGACGCGTCAATACCAAATATTATTGAAACGCTGTTCTAGAAAAAGTGTTATATTTTGGAAATACAGATATTTTGATAAAAAATATTTACTTGCCGCAGGAGTTATGCGAATGGTAGTCGTTTAGAACGTGATTAGACTGAATTTGTGTTAATTCAAACAATAAAACATTCGCTTTTATCAAATGGTGACGAAATATGATAACATTGATCCACATAATGTCTAAATATAGCCACAGCTGTTTATACGCGATAAGGTTCAAGACGTTAATCCGCGCCAACAATGTAGCATCGTAACCATTTTTTTTGTTAGTCGCATTTGCCGTTAACGTGTAACATATGATGCGCACTATCGCGCACAAATGCCAAGAGAAACATACGTTAGCAACAAGTTCATTTATAATCCAATGTCTCTAGATATATTGATAATTAACAATGTTGATCTTGTGCAAAATCTACCAAACATGATATGATATTATTTATATTATTGCATATATTTTGACATATTGTATATGCAAATTGAATTAACGCGAATTATTGCAAACATCGATGTATAATACATAATTATATTGCCAATAATACGGTTTACAATCTGACATTGTTGACATTGATGTAAGATATGATCTTATTGCAAATATTACCGCGAAAGAGATCAATTTGATATTATTTTTGGCAAATTCTTAGATATATGTCCATATATCGTATTATCCGAAAGAGATTTGCAAAATGAAAAATTATTGAAAATTTTTAAAATATGTTCCATTATGTACACTGGAAAAAATTTTTGTTGCATTAATAAAAATTCTGTTCGAAAATCTACGAAACAGAATTACTGGTTGAATCTACCAGAATTCCTTTTAATGCAACAAATATTTTCTTTGCACAAACAACTGATTTGTTGTGCAAACAAGATGCATTGCATTAAAAGGAATTTTAGTAGATCCAACAATAATTATGTTTCATTTATTTTCAAACAGAACTTTTGTTAATGCAACAAAATTTTTTGTTTCCAATGTACTTATATATACACATAACAAAAGAAAAAAATGGATTCTGCTGTTTGAATATAATTATATGAAAGAAATGCGGAACTTAAAGAATTAAATAAATATTGCTAATAATAACAAGAATCAGAATCTCACAGAAAACATTTGCAACAAGTTGAAGGAAGACAGCTGCGAATCTTCGAGCTATAACTATAATCCGATCATCTCGAACGAAGGAAGAGTGGAGCCAATAAAACGAAACAGTAGCTCTTGCTTCCTTTCGCGGCCGTTCCGTGCTTTTTCACGCGGAGTCCAAATCGAAAACGGAATTGAACGGTCTTCCGCATCCTGTATCGCGACCTAAGGATGAAGGAGTAAACCGATAACGCCCTTTCGGAGCTTTAGTCCCAGGATCACGGAGTTTCCCAGCGATAAGCCGGTACCGGGCGCGACACTTCGACATTTGACACCCGGCTGCCATAAAATCGGACCCCCTGATTTCAAATTCAATTCAAAATCCCGCACTCGTGAGTGAACGCAATATACCACTCCGGCAAGTGGCGGTGGTGGAAACAAATGTTTTATGGCTCTTAAAGCGGCCTTTTTCAACGGTCTCGTTTCCGTAAAAGGTATAATATGGTTCACCGATGTATGTGCGTCTAGTATATGTACGTTTGTGGTGGTCTATATGGTATACATATACTGTATTTCAATTCAATGTGTGAAAATTGCTTTTTCCATCTTTAGTTTCATCCTTTCTAAACAAAGCTCTGGCAAAAATGCAACAAGTCTGTCATCTCTAGATAAGATTTTATTTTGATCCGCATACATATATATTGTCTTTTCATCCACGAATATATTTTTCTCGATCTATTCTAATTCCTGTTCTTTTATACATATACGAATCTCTTGTTATATACGTACATCGAAGAGCAAAAGATAATTCTTATACGCGTCCGACATTAGACGAGATAATTAATAATGAATGCAGATAAGCAGGTTTAATACCAAGAGAACCGCGTAACACGAAACCGTTCATCGAGTTTTATTTTCGGTTTTCCTATTCCTGATGACCCAAGGAGTAAAATCGTGTTTCCCCATCCGAAGGATCGACTATCGAGCTAATATTAAAATGCATGTACCGTATTAATTCTGCCGAGTTTAGCTGAGATATATCAAAATGAATACAGGTCGCGATATTTTATTACACGTTCAGGTCAAACCGAAAAAGTATCATCGTTGTTGGGAAAATTTGAATTTCTAATATTGTATTGAATTTAATATATAAATTCAATTATTTTTTATATAATAATTTATGACAATCAATTTTTGTAATTGTTTATCCTCGATTGTTTCAATTTCAGAGAATGACTCCAGTCTTGATACAAATTGCTCAATAAATTTAATAAATTTTCTGTATTTTAATATTATGTACTTTTAATATTAGTAATAATATATATTATTCTGCTCGATTACACATTACATACACATGTACAGTACATGTATTTATGCCAATAATTCATTTAAAATTATTCTTTAGATTCATTATTTAATTACAAAAATATTATATAAATATATTTGAGCCTGGGCTTATCTTTTGAATTTTAAATAAAAGTCACATTATACTGCTTATCAAATATTTCAAATAGCTTCAAGAAATAAAAGATAAAGTGTCTTTCTATTCTCTTATATGCGAGCAACGATCCTATTCGAAATTGAAGCAAAATTGTTAATTACACGTTCTTATAACAAAGTCACGGATATATCGGAAACATGGCAAGGCACATAGACACCTCGACACTTTGTACTTCACCCTTGCCTGCCGATCCTTACACCGTAACCGCAGTAGAACGACACTGTCCCTCGCGATGTCTTAGGCCACCGCTGGCGTCACTTCAAACCCTCGCAGCCGCCTCTTGACTCTCAAGAACCCCTTAAATTATAAACAGTGTCAGGCAACACCGCGGCACTTCGATCGCGGCCGGCTCAAGCCACGCAAACTTGACTTCCGACTACTCGTACCGGAACAACTTTGTCGGAATACGATAATATACTGCGCGGATATTCTACGTGCTGCGTCCATTTCCGTAGATGAAAATTTATTTTGAGAAATTAATATTTTGGGTAGATCAGAGACTCTGCATTATTTGATGCTCGATAAATTTTCTATTCATATTCGATACATTCTTCTTGAATTTATATTTTATTTATTCTTTAATAGTTTTCATAATTTTTCTTTTCATAGATATCTTAAAATATTGTCAGACAAAATTTATAATATAAATTTAATTAAAATTAAATATAAATTTAGATTATATAGATCAGAATAAAAATTCTCAACAATCAATGTTCATTTTTATGTAAATCTAAGTTTTTAAGTTTGATTGATTTTGCAACAATATATGCATTAGAGAAAATCTTCAAAAACATTGTTAAATGATAAAAAAGAAAATTCTATATATACTAAGAGCAAGAGTTATCAATTATCAAGAATAAAAATTCCTAAAATGATGTAATGTCTAGCTCGACATGATATGAAATTTTAACTATTGCTTAAACTTTGATAATAAGTTAACTACAGAATCGCCTTAAAGTTCTGCATGAAGATTGCAAATAATTGACTCAACAGGACAATTGTCGACATTAACCTAATCCACTATTCGGAAAGCCAGCAAGATTCTACGAAGTTACGAAGTCTATCAAGATTGCTTCAAGTGTGACAATGGAAGTGAGGAAATCGCGGTCGAATCGTAGGACGGTCAGCAAAAGTCAATGGTTACCCAAAACTCGATCCCAAAACGATCAAGAGAACTTCATAAAGTCGTAAAGATCTTGAAGTTCATTGATATTCGATTCAATTGACACTTTCTTCCTCTACATTTAAAATAAAATGGCTTTAAAAATCGTTCAATGATTTTTGCATTCCCAAATTTTGTCCATCGAACATTCGTCAAAAATACATATTTTAGTATAAATGCAAACATAAACATAATATTAATAAATGCATATGCGTATAATCTGAATATTATTATTATTAATGATAGAATTTTACTTAATAGCATACTTTCCAAATGACAAATATTTAATTATAGCAATGGTGGGTTACATTATTGTTTCTCATTATATATTTTATATTCGTGTATGGACAGATTAACATGTAACATAATACATATATTATTTCTTTTATATATATACAGTTATGTGCAAAATAATAGCATCGGTTGACAAAATGAGGGGAATTTCTATGTTTCCTTCGTACCATGTTTAACTGTCTCGACTGTACCTATATCTAGGATTAAATTCTGAAATATATAAATTTCCCTTATTTTTTCAACCGGTGCTATTATTTTGCACATAACTGTATGTATACTATGTATACATAAAAAATAATATAGAATACTTGCATAATACATCATGCTATATATATGCTAGCTTGCCGATAAACGAATCTTTGTTTGCACAAGCAATGGCCGAGCAGATGTACGGCCGCACGTGTAATTCTAATGCGTGTTCGCACACACATTCAGAATTTTCTAGCACACTTCGTGATTTCACTTCTCTACCGCTTATTATTTTTGCATTTATCCGCTAGTGAACGTCATTATTTATACGTAAGATGATGTATATTGTTCCTCTAGCAATATTATAACATAAACATGTTAAATGAATAATGAA